CTCAATTATAGCTTTATCGTGTGTACGTGTGTATGTATGTAGTTCTGTATGTCTATAGGCATCGTGTATGTATCTGTGTTGATGTAGACACTGTATATGTATATACTAATATATTAATATATATATTTAATGTGTATATATATTTTTTTCATTTTCCGTTTGTTGTTTTGTATGAATGTCAACAACAGCAGAAACATTAAATACTTCCCCTCTGATATCCAGAATTTATTACAAACATGTAGCGGTATATAACAAACGATGTTAATTTGACAAGAGAATTGATAAAATGCATTATGCAGCGGAGCTATATTAGATTATTTATCACGTTGCTTTATTTATACCCTGCCGAATGAATTAATGAATAAATGTAATACAGCGAGATTACAGTAACTGCCTGTGCAAGGGGCTTATGCATCACAGGCAAGGCAGCTACAAGGTCGGGAAGGAATAAACACAATATTTCACTGTCAGGAAAGGAACTCTAGACTGACGAGGGGATATTAACTTCGTCTGTCTGTTATCTCTTGACTAATTTCAACAGACACTTGCTTTTTTTCTCTTCTTTAAGAGAATGGAAATCTTGGAATCTTTCGCAACGAGATTGATTGTGAGTTAATTTTCTCCCGTCGCGCGTTCAATTTGTATCTGTGCTTGCGTTAATGTGTTCGAGCACATACACACTCATACACATGTACATACATGCATACGTATAAATACGCACACACACATGGGCGTGGACACACACACACACACGCACACTCTCACACAGATATATAGAAACACACATACACATACACATATGAACATACACTTATAGACACAAAGGCATACACACATATACACATACATATAAAAACACATTTAAACAAACACACGCGCGCGCGCATGCACTCACGCACACGCACGCACACACGCTCACATCGTTAATAGCTTCATCAAGAGGGGAAGAAAGGAAGGGGAGTCGACAGACCGGAGTCAGGAGAACACAAGAGAGAGGAAGAGAATGACAAGGGAGGTGAGAGGAGGAGAATGGATGGGAGAGGAGGAAGGGAAGAAGGGGAGAGAGGGAGAGAGGGAGAGAGGGAAGATAAGGGTCAGTGACGGTCCCCTTTAACCTGTGGCTCTTAGGATTGGGGGGGGGGGGGAGTTCGTATCAGGCCCCCCCCCCCCTAGCTCTCCTTCCTTGCTCCTTCCTTTTCTTTATTCTCCCTCGTTCATTCTCTCCTCTGTTCTTTCTCCCTTCGCTATCGTTTTCTCTCCACCACTTTGTCCTCATCCCGTCTACTTTATTCCTTCATCTTGCTATAACTACTAAAAAGAAAGGAATAGAAGAAACGAAGAAGAAGAAGAAGAAAAAAGCAAATGCGTAAAGATAATTAACGAAAGAAAGGAAACAGAAAAAAAAACAACGAAATCAGAAAATGATAATAACACCAACGCTAACTTTACATATTTAGCGAACCTTAAAGACATATTCGGAAGTTTAACGTCGATGCTCGCTTATGATGGCAGACTGCGGCTCATAAACGCAACCCTTTTGTTGTTAAGACTGATGCGTTCGAGGGAAAACTTGTGCAAAATGGCCGATAATAGGTAATAAGAGCAATAATGAGAGAGAGAGTGAGTGAGTGAGAGTGAGGGAGAGAGTGAGAGAGAGAGAGAGAGAGAGAGAGAGAGAGAGAGAGAGAGAGAGAGAGAGAGAGAGAGAGAGAGAGAGAGAGAGAGAGAGAGAGAGAGAGAGAGAGAATCAAAGAGAGAGAGGGGGGGAGGGGGGAGGAAAAGAGAGGTGGATAGGAAAATAATGAATAGACAGAAATAGGGGACAAAAAGAAAAAGAGGAGGAGAAGAAGATGAGGAGGAGGAGGAGGAGGATGAAGAATAAGAAGAAAAAGAAGAAGCAGAGGAAGAAGAAGGAGAAGAAAAGAAGAAAAAGAAGATAACGAAAGAACGAAAGAAAGATAGAAAAAAGAAAAAGAAAAATGAAAAGCAGAAAATAAAAAGATAGAAATAACCAATGAAGAAACCGAACAAACAAACAAACAGACCCAACACAGCCAAAACAAAGCAATTTCATTCGTAAACTAAAATTACATAAAGTGAATTTGATTGAAATTAAGGCGCCGGGGACTGAAAGAAGTGAAAAAAGAGGGCATAGGGAGGAAAAGCGATGTCGGTCGGAAACTACTCTCTTTGATTACTCTCGGCAACATTTTCCTTCTCGAGGCAAGAGGCTTGTGAAGGAATTCCGAGACGGACGCATTGAAGTTGGACGAGCTTTTTATAGGCTTAGATGCGTACTATATACATGAACACAACCATTTACACATTCACGCATATATAGTCACATACATACATACACACACACGCACACACACACACACATGCATACATGTATGTATACATATATATGCATGTATATATGTATATATGTATGTATATGTATGTATATATATATATATATATATATATATATATATATATATATATATATAATATATATATATGCATATATATATATATATATATATATATATATATATATATATATATATATATATATATATAGAGAGAGAGAGAGAGAGAGAGAGAGAGAGAGAGAGAGAGAGAGAGAGAGAGAGAGAGAGATGTACACACACACACACACACACACACACACACACACACACACACACACACACACACACACACACACACACACACACACACACACACACACACACACGTGTTGTTTGTTTCCTTATTCTCTGTCTCCCCCCCCTCCCTCTCTCTGCCTTTGCGAAGGAAGCCTCCGTCACAAGGTGAACCGGATACGCCTGCCCCGAGGGTGTTGACGGATCTCAGGGCGGCTGGGATATCGAAATTCTATGACTCGTCGCCTTCTTTTTCTTCACACAGTAGTTACTCTGTTTAGGAGAAAACGAAGGGAGAGACGGCTTCATGTAAAGGAAAAATAACACAAAATAAGGAGTAGGAGACGGAGAGATAGAAAGAGAAAGAGAATGAGTGGGAGAAAGAGAGAGAGGCAAAGAGAGAGAGAGAGATAGAAGGATAGAAGGATAGAAAGATAGAAGGATAGATAGATGGATAGAGAGATAGATAGATAGATAGATAGATAGATAGATAGATAGAGAGATAGAGACAGACAGACAGACAGACAGAGAAATAGATAGACAGACAGACAGAGAAAGAGAGGGAGAGAAAGAGAGACAGACAGACAGAGAGAGACAGAGATAGATATAGAGAGACAAACAGAGAGAAAAAGAGGAACGGAATGAGAAAGACAGAGAAAGATACAGTGAGACAAACAGAGAGAAAGATACAGTCAGACAGATAGAAACACAAAGAGAGAATAGAGGAACAAAGAAGAAAAAGTCCACGAAAGAGGCATTAGTGATATGCGATAAGAAAGTAAGGGAGGGAGAAAGGAGGGAACAACAAGAGTGTATTTTCGTAACAAAAGGGCTGCCGCAACAATGTTTTCACGCCAAGGGGGAGAGACAATTTCTCTCTCTTTCCGGCACCATAAGCGTGTCTGGTGTGGTGTGTGTGTGTTGTTTTCGGACGCAGATGGTGGCTGTTAGGTGCGCTATGGTGTCGGAGATTAGATTCAGGGGCTAGCCACACACTCAGTACTATTACTCTTTATGTATCTGGTGGGGGACAGTAATGGGTTGATTAACTAAGGACGTTGTTCGTTGTGCGGCTCTCTGTGGGATCGACTGCCTAGTGGCTCCTCTCGCTCTCTCCTCCTTTATGTTTATTCATCTATCCTTCTTGTGTTTCCTCTATTCCTTTGTTGCTCTCTTTATTGTTATTTGGTACAGATACGAGGAGAGGTAATGTATATACATAAGTTGCCTAAGTCTAATATTATCTATTTTTCATATATGTAAGTCACATCATCTCTTTCTTTTAGTTTTTTTCCCTCTTCTTTTTCTTTATATCTCCTCTGCTTTACTCTTCTTTCTCTGATTCTCTCCCATTCTACTCTGCCTCCTTCACTTTTACCAGGACCTCTTCTTACTCTCCATTTTTTGTGATCTTCGTATCGGTTTCATTCTCTTGTGATTATACGTACATGGCTGGGATTTTTTTTAACCACTTTTATCTTCCACTCCTTGAAGCGGAACTAACGAGATTTGAGTCTTGAGTTTTTCATCGAAGTAATCCTTCCTCCCGCCATCTCTCCTTGTCTGTCTTCACGTCTGTCTGTTTGTCTGTCTGTCTCTATCTTTCTTTCCTTCCCTCTCTCTCTATCTATCTACCTATCTCCTCCCTTACTTTCTCTCTCTTCTCTCCCTCCTTCACTTTCTCTCTCTCTCTCTCTCTCTCTCTCTCTCTCTCTCTCTCTCTCTCTCTCTCTCTCTCTCTCTCTCTCTCTCTCTCTCTCTCTCTCTCTCTCTCTCTCTCTCTCTCTCAGTCCTTCTCTCTCTCTCTCTCTCTCTCTCTCTCTCTCTCTCTCTCTCTCTCTCTCTCTCTCTCTCTCTCTTTCTCCTTTTCTCCCTTCTATCATCATTACGACGGCCACGGCCACCAATCCAGGCATGACAGGATCCCATGTTTAACCCTCATTATGTAAGTTAAGAAAAGTGCCTCCTTGTTGGAAACTGTTGTCAACATCATGTGTATAAATACTGTTTGATGATTTTTCTTCTCGGTGTCAAGGTAAGTTTGTATACGAGCTATGAGGTTCTCTCTCACTCGCGCTCTCTCTCTCTCTCTTTGTGCGCGTGTATATATGTATGTTTATGTGCGTGTGAACTTATTCACCTTTCCTTATACATTTGTGAATTTAAAAATAATGAGGACAATTTTACTTTATGTCTGGAAATTACTGTATCATTAAGAAAAAAAGTAAACTCTCTGAATAACTATAATTAACTAAAAGATTTAGTAAGCTTCATAATCATCCAATTTCCGTGTGTCCTACTTCACCCTCGATTTTATACTTCCATCATTAATTATTTTTTTATTCTAACGTTAGTATTGTCTTTTTTCAGATTCGTCAAGAATATGTTTAACCGAAGAATGTGTAAAGACAGGTATGTTATGACGTGATCATGTAAATGTTTTTAACCCCTTTATTATACTTTTTTTTTCCCGTACCCTCTTCTGTATCTCCTTTGTATCTCTCTTTATGTCTACCATACTTAAAAGCAGGCAGTTATTTCTCTCCTCCCCTTTCACCTGCATTAACTAAACAAAACGTATTCTTGACTTCCTGTGCACAATGCGTCGCGGTGATCTCTTCACGTTTTGCACAGCGGATTAGGAGAAGTAATCTGCATTTACATAGTGTTCCCATTAGTAGTAACCCCTTCATTATCGTATTCATAGCCTAGTTTCCGGTCCGTTTTATGCCTTGACATAAATACTCTCCGCTTCCTCTGCCACCAGTGCCCAAGGACGCTGTTGTACAGTCACAAAGGACTGTTGTTTGGCCTCCTGACGAGATGGTGGGATCTGCTTCGTTCCCAGCCTTCTACGTCACGTTGTTGCGTTTGCTTTTGTCATGCATTATTTATATATCTCTCGATTTATTTCCGTCTATTTTTGTGAAGAAAATAGAAGAAGATAATAGATATATTTTTTGCAGTTTATTCACTTATGTAAATAAAGGCGAGCTTATCTGCATGAACACACACACACACATACGCTTCACTCATGATTAATACCAACACGCCGGCAACCTTCAACAGTTTAGCTGGTAAAGGCAAGACAGATGGATCCCTCGTCACTCACTGTCATTCTATGCAGGACTTACCCCGCTCAACACAAGCGAGGCTATTCCTCTTTCAGAACTCAAGGTCGGCACTCAAGACCCCTGTGGATACAAGTGACAATGCTGAGAACAGGCTTTGTGTCCTTTGTGGCAAGAAACAAGAGCAGGACATGTTCTATACTGGGAGAGGTCCGTTTAGGGCCAAATGTGTAGATAAGATCACATCAAATCCAGCTGCTAGACGGCCTCGAAGAATAAGATTTTGTTGTGGGATTTTCTCAAAACCTGCGGGTTCCATTCATCGTATTTCTGGCTTAGGGCTTGCTTCATTACGTAAAGTCAGCCAAGATTTATAACTACAGGCAGTGTAAATTGGGACCTGCGACGTTATGGGTTAATCACATGCCGTGTGTTAAAGTAATGGGGACGTCTAGATAATAGGGATCCTGGGGTAAAATAGAACTGGCCAAGAAACGATATTTCATCATTAGCAAAACGCAGAAATTCTGATTATACTTGTGCATCCTCTTAAGCAAGTAGATTGTGTAACACAAAACAAGCAAACAAAAATTATATTTTATATTTATAAGTTATATTTGAGAGAACAACAACATAAGATGAGTGTATCAACCAATGTTATTTCTAATTCGAAAAAAACCAATATTAGGTAACAACTACAGTGTCTTTCTTTTTAAAAAGTAGACAAAGGAAAAGAAAAATTGACCATAATAGTTCGCCATAAATCAATGAATAACAGTTTATATTTTGTGGATTCTTGCAATTTATGTTAACGAGGTATATTTGCGATACTACCTCCAAATTACAACCCTCACACATTTGATTTTTGTAATTATATAAATAATGACTATTACGATTGACATTTTAATAAACCGTGAGATAATGAAATACGGCTGGTACAACCCGTAGAGTTTATGCACAAACCTATTAAATATAGCTTCTTTCTATATTTTATTTACTTACCGGTATCCCATTTTTAGAGATACTTAACATTCATCTACCTTTACTTTCAAATACGTACCTCTTCACATTTCATTATTACTCATCGGATATATATTTAGTCTGATTATTCACAATCTCTCATAAAGATGGCCTTTTGGTACGTGAGTCAGTTTAGCCGTCGTTGAAAAGAGGGGGAGTTATATCCGGAGAGAAAAACGTTACAAGGACAATAATAGAGAAATAGCAGAGGAATGAGGAGAGAAGAAAGAGTCGAACACTATACATACAAGGACAAGGGGGGTGAGCGCGTGCAGGTAAGTACTTAGGCGATATTTGACGTGCTGTCAGTCAAGGTTAATCTTACCACCTTTATTGCCTTCGGGGCAGAGTGGCAAGATTACCTAGTCTATATTAAGAGAGTCAGACGCCTAGTAATAGCAGCAGGTAGTCGGTGCACAAGAGAAGGGAGGCAGCGGTGAAAGACGAAGGAAGAAAAACAATAACCTATCAAGGATGAAACCTATAAGATCTCTCTTGACAAAATGAAGGAGGAGGAGGAGGAGGAGGAGGAGGAGGAGGAGGAGGAGGAGGAGGAGGAGGAGGAGGAGGAGGAGGAGGAGGAGGAGGAGGAGGAGGAGGAGGAGGAGGAGGAGGAGGAGGAGGAGGAGGAGGAGGAGGAGGAGGAGGAGGAGGAGGAGGAGGAGGAGGAGGAGGAGGAGGAGGAGGAGGAGGAGGAGGAGGAGGAGGAGGAGGAGGAGGAGGAGGAGGAGGAGGAGGAGGAGGAGGAGGAGGAGGAGGAGGAGGAGGAGGAGGAGGAGGAGGAGGAGGAGGAGGAGGAGGAGGAGGAGGAGGAGGAGGAGGAGGAGGAGGAGGAGGAGGAGGAGGAGGAGGAGGAGGAGGAGGAGGAGGAGGAGGAGGAGGAGGAGGAGGAGGAGGAGGAGGAGGAGGAGGAGGAGGAGGAGGAGGAGGAGGAGGAGGAGGAGGAGGAGGAGGAGGAGGAGGAGGAGGAGGAGGAGGAGGAGGAGGAGGAGGAGGAGGAGGAGGAGGAGGAGGAGGAGGAGGAGGAGGAGGAGGAGGAGGAGGAGGAGGAGGAGGAGGAGGAGGAGGAGGAGGAGGAGGAGGAGGAGGAGGAGGAGGAGGAGGAGGAGGAGGAGGAGGAGGAGGAGGAGGAGGAGGAGGAGGAGGAGGAGGAGGAGGAGGAGGAGGAGGAGGAGGAGGAGGAGGAGGAGGAGGAGGAGGAGGAGGAGGAGGAGGAGGAGGAGGAGGAGGAGGAGGAGGAGGAGGAGGAGGAGGAGGAGGAGGAGGAGGAGGAGGAGGAGGAGGAGGAGGAGGAGGAGGAGGAGGAGGAGGAGGAGGAGGAGGAGGAGGAGGAGGAGGAGGAGGAGGAGGAGGAGGAGGAGGAGGAGGAGGAGGAGGAGGAGGAGGAGGAGGAGGAGGAGGAGGAGGAGGAGGAGGAGGAGGAGGAGGAGGAGGAGGAGGAGGAGGAGGAGGAGGAGGAGGAGGAGGAGGAGGAGGAGGAGGAGGAGGAGGAGGAGGAGGAGGAGGAGGAGGAGGAGGAGGAGGAGGAGGAGGAGGAGGAGGAGGAGGAGGAGGAGGAGGAGGAGGAGGAGGAGGAGGAGGAGGAGGAGGAGGAGGAGGAGGAGGAGGAGGAGGAGGAGGAGGAGGAGGAGGAGGAGGAGGAGGAGGAGGAGGAGGAGGAGGAGGAGGAGGAGGAGGAGGAGGAGGAGGAGGAGGAGGAGGAGGAGGAGGAGGAGGAGGAGGAGGAGGAGGAGGAGGAGGAGGAGGAGGAGGAGGAGGAGGAGGAGGAGGAGGAGGAGGAGGAGGAGGAGGAGGAGGAGGAGGAGGAGGAGGAGGAGGAGGAGGAGGAGGAGGAGGAGGAGGAGGAGGAGGAGGAGGAGGAGGAGGAGGAGGAGGAGGAGGAGGAGGAGGAGGAGGAGGAGGAGGAGGAGGAGGAGGAGGAGGAGGAGGAGGAGGAGGAGGAGGAGGAGGAGGAGGAGGAGGAGGAGGAGGAGGAGGAGGAGGAGGAGGAGGAGGAGGAGGAGGAGGAGGAGGAGGAGGAGGAGGAGGAGGAGGAGGAGGAGGAGGAGGAGGAGGAGGAGGAGGAGGAGGAGGAGGAGGAGGAGGAGGAGGAGGAGGAGGAGGAGGAGGAGGAGGAGGAGGAGGAGGAGGAGGAGGAGGAGGAGGAGGAGGAGGAGGAGGAGGAGGAGGAGGAGGAGGAGGAGGAGGAGGAGGAGGAGGAGGAGGAGGAGGAGGAGGAGGAGGAGGAGGAGGAGGAGGAGGAGGAGGAGGAGGAGGAGGAGGAGGAGGAGGAGGAGGAGGAGGAGGAGGAGGAGGAGGAGGAGGAGGAGGAGGAGGAGGAGGAGGAGGAGGAGGAGGAGGAGGAGGAGGAGGAGGAGGAGGAGGAGGAGGAGGAGGAGGAGGAGGAGGAGGAGGAGGAGGAGGAGGAGGAGGAGGAGGAGGAGGAGGAGGAGGAGGAGGAGGAGGAGGAGGAGGAGGAGGAGGAGGAGGAGGAGGAGGAGGAGGAGGAGGAGGAGGAGGAGGAGGAGGAGGAGGAGGAGGAGGAGGAGGAGGAGGAGGAGGAGGAGGAGGAGGAGGAGGAGGAGGAGGAGGAGGAGGAGGAGGAGGAGGAGGAGGAGGAGGAGGAGGAGGAGGAGGAGGAGGAGGAGGAGGAGGAGGAGGAGGAGGAGGAGGAGGAGGAGGAGGAGGAGGAGGAGGAGGAGGAGGAGGAGGAGGAGGAGGAGGAGGAGGAGGAGGAGGAGGAGGAGGAGGAGGAGGAGGAGGAGGAGGAGGAGGAGGAGGAGGAGGAGGAGGAGGAGGAGGAGGAGGAGGAGGAGGAGGAGGAGGAGGAGGAGGAGGAGGAGGAGGAGGAGGAGGAGGAGGAGGAGGAGGAGGAGGAGGAGGAGGAGGAGGAGGAGGAGGAGGAGGAGGAGGAGGAGGAGGAGGAGGAGGAGGAGGAGGAGGAGGAGGAGTACACACATACACACATGCACACACACAAACACGCACACACACACACATACACACACACACATATATGTGTCTGTGTGTGTGTGTGTGAGACAAGGAATATACTACGCCTAAGAATTAACGAGCAACATGCGGCGTGTTTGTGCTCCCTCAGCTTAATATCCGTGCTCTATGACTCCAGTCGCCGATAAACCTGTGACTAAATATTTTTTTCTAATGTATTACAGTGTTACGTAGTTGCACAAAAATGTGAAGTGATTGCAAGGTCAAGCCGGAACATTACGAAATTATAATGAGCTTTTATTTCCTTGGGTTCTTCCGCCACAACGGAATAAGGGTCATAATTTATCTATCGATCGATCTATGTCTATCTGTCTTTCTATCTGCGGAGTC